CCGATAGGGGAAACCCAAATAAGATGCGGCCGCTTCTGGGAATAAGAATTTTGGCGCGAGCTCTTGGTTATTCGGCACATCCAGCCCGGATCATACAGGCTCCTCACATGACAAGACCCCAGAACCCTTAAGCCTAACGCTTACAACCCAAGTCTGCAACCCCTTAAAGATGCCCAAACATCAGCCAAACCAACCCCTCTCCCTTGCTCAAAAGGTTCGTGAGTTGCAGCAGAAGCAGAAGCAGCTCGAGGATGAGAAAAGGCCTTCAGGGTAACGTGGAAGCTTGCGAACGGCAGTGTATAGGGCTGAATAGTTTTGGATCTCATGCTGTGAGAACCTGTTTATGCCAGCGGCTGAAGTCCTCAAAGCAAGCATCCTGGAGTATACGACGTGACGCTCATTTTCAAGACTTGTGCAGAAGGCCCTCCTATGCCTAGTGCCTCTAATCTCCATTACTTGGAGACTTCTAGTGGCGGCAAGGAGTTGCATTGTTTTTGTAGAGCCTACTCCAGATATCGTGTTTGCATGTGTGCATTCTCTTCTTGGCTGTTGTTCTCAGTGAGTCCTGTTTGGGTAGTGTGTGTATGCACATAGGTCTATATATCTGTATATACATATACATTTATGTCTACATGTACGGTTGAAGTAGGAATAGTGTGCACAGAAGGCCTCAGACGTGTCCACAGTAACGGGGAGCTGATTCGCATCGTCCGATTGAGCAGACTTTGTTTTTCTTGATCAGGGGACCCATCACTTAGACGAGAGAAATGGCTAGGAGCCGGGGATGCCGGATGAAGGGCCCTCCTAATGCACGTCATGGCCTCCTGAGACCCGCCGCCCAAACACTCAAGATTTATCCCCAACCTTCCCCCCACAAGACCCTACCCCGGTCCCTGAGAGGACTGCTCCACACGTTCACTGGAGCCAAACAATCGGTTTGAGCGCGTCATCCTTGCTGCAGGGTGCCATGATCAACAGTTTTCACTTTGAGGGGACTTACGGCCCAGAGCACGGACTAGCTGCTTCCTTCAAAGCCCTACAGAAAGCGCGGTAACGGTCTGCTGCCCCTATGAAGAGTGTGAAAAGCACTCTGCATGGCGTCACCTTCAAAGCGACACGCCAATCCCTGCAAAGCCCGACGCAACCACGGAAGCGCGCGACATAATGAACTTCATCAGTTAAAGCCGGCTTCTGATTCATACCCCGCCCCACCCCCAACAAGTAAAGGAACTAAATTGTCCCCAATCAAAGTTCGAATTGCTTTGGGCGGGTCTCGGGCCCTGTCAATGAATTTTCCATTGCTGGGGATCAACTTCGGTTCTCAATCTGGCGAAAAGTTCGCTCTATTGTTCAGACAAGAGTTGCTCATTTTACAACCCCATGTACTAATCCGTCCGAAGCCAGCATTATTGATAGACGCTAACCCCGAGTCCCTATAAACGTTGACCCTGCATAATCTTTATAGCGCCAAACCACATATATACATACTGGATGTTCAACTCTAAACCCAATAAATCCTTATACCCTTTTCTATGAGCCTGTAATCTAATGTGCGAGCGAGGCAGCAGGAGCAAACGCTGCTGGACGAGCAGATCCCTGGCAAAGTACGTCCTGTTGAACTCTATCATCCCCATATAACGGCAATGTCTGTCAGGGTATAGTAGGATATATATAAATATATATATATACAGATACATATATATATATATATATGGGGTGTATATATATATATATGTAGGGATTTTATTAGGGGCTTATAGGTATTGAATAGGGAGTTTTAGGTGTTTATAACGCAAATAAAGAGGCCTCTATAACCTCTTTATAACCCCAAGTGGTACATAACCCAAATCTGATTCCTACATAACCACGGCTTTACATCTGGCACTACCCAGAAAATCAGGTGAGGGCTTCAGGCTGGGGATAGCGTAGGGCTTCTAAAGGAAGTACATTGGGTTATGTAGGCAGTATTTTGGGGTTATATAGGGAGTATATATACATATAAACACACACATATATAGTTATGTGGGTTATACAGGAAGTACATGCGGTTTTGGCTTGATGAGGTTTAGGGCTTTAGCTTCAGGGTTTGAGGTTTAAGTTTCTGGCTTGCCCCATATCGGTCTAGGGTTGGCTGGTTGGTATTTAGAGCAGCTCGGCTTTCTAGCCAGGCTACTCTAAGTTCCGGGAATAAGAGGACCTATAGGAACTATAGGAAATCTAGGTACTTTATGACCTTACTTAGAATACAGATAGAGATCAGAGTTGTAGGGCTTTTGCCGGCGGACTTGGGCATCCTCGCGTGTTGAGTTTCTGGGGCTTGGGAGACTTGCTGGTGAGGTTTGCGCAGCACACTTGGGGGAGTTCTTTTTTGTGGGTGCTATAGGGCACATGGCAGGGTAGTATTCCTTGAACAGGGTCAACCGAAAGCGTTGTAAGGATCTGTTGGGGATTGTAAAGTGCGACAGGCATCCATTCTGTACTAATGGGAATTCAGCAATGCCAAAAGCAGGTGTTTTGCTGGCTCCGCGGGCCCAGGCTTGTAACAATCCACATGCTAATAGTGATAGGCTGGCTGCCAGATTGGCGGGGTCAGGTTCTCTTTTTGGAGTTCTTGTTCTTAGGGTTATAGTATTTTGGAATGATATGTAATGGGGACGCTTATTTTGGGAAGTAGTAAATACCCTCGATGACTAAGTCCTTGATACAAGAATCAGAAGAAAGAGGTTCATACGTGAGATGGAGCAAGCTGGTAATTCAATTCAGGAAGCGCCTTGAGCAACTCCAAGCTGAGCAGGACAAGGCGTGCTGATGGGTGCGGCAAGCTTCCGATCTACGAGCACTAGGGTTCATCGATGTTGGTAGGAACCCTGTGCAGGCTACTGATTGCATAGATGATATTGATCTCGAGCATGCTTTCTGCAAACGCGAACTCGGCCCCTACGATGCTGCAACAAACAGGCCAAAGAAAAGCACGAGGCGGCAGCTGCCTCCCGGCTTGAGGTTTGAGATGCTTGATTCTGAAACGTGGCTAGTTTTCTTGCCAGGTGGCATGTTGTATACATCCGGACTTCTATCTTTTCGGGACTTCTTGAGGTGCGGAGAGAGTGAGTTCCATGTTATCCCCATTTTGTGAAGGCACTGAGTTAGTTGGTCCCTAAGTAGATGATGCAGTGAGTCATCTTTAGCGCATCCTTTTTGAGGAAAAGCCTATCAACGGAACAGGCGCCAACCCACCATTCGGGCTGTGCAGGATTTGGCGAATGTAAGCCTTCAACAAATGTTGTGGCATGATGAAGTAAACCCTAAATCCTAAACCCGATTATCAGTTATCGGATTTCATCAGCAGCTCACGAGGCAACTTGTAAAGCAGCCAGACGGCTCGGCTGTACGATGTCAAGTACAGAGCCTGAAGAAGGATGGGAATTCTCATTGTATTCGGCGGATAATTGTTATGGTATACTCTGCTCCATAGCCCCCACCTTCACCATGTCAGCCTTTGTGTACTTGAATCAAATTTGCGTGATGGTGGTCTGAGGGTTGATCAGTTTTGCCGGGCAGAGCTACACACAGCCCACAAAGGCTTCCCTCTCTACGCCCACACCTCAGAATGTTAAATAAGTCCAGCACCCAACAGTTTTGCAGAAGCAGCTGGACATAACCTTCTCGACATTCCGGAGACTCGTAGTATTGTGACTAGCTTGAAGATGCAGCTCCGATATACCCACCATTCCTTATCTGTCTGTATGACCCGAATTTGCTTTTTGTTTCCATTTGATTCTCCTTGGTTTCTCGACCCCTGTAGATCCCTTTAAGTAGCCACTACATTTCAACATATATTCTGCCAAGGCCATGGGCCAGTGTGAAGCTCAATGTAGGCCTTTGCGTCTTCCAAGGCTTAGAGATGTAGCTTGTCTATGCAAACCACAACACCGGCAACCCTGAACGTTAGCCTAGGTGTAAACCACAAAACCGTACATAACCCAATTAGTTGGCCTTCACAATGCTCAGATTATCGGCTTTTCTGCCGCATAGTTGTAGGACCCATGTAACCAGCAGTTCAAAAGCCATTGCCACCTTTTGCTTAAGCCTAAAACCGACTTGGAAAGATTTGCCCTTGCCCAAGGCTGAGCTTAAGGCCTTGGCTGAGCAAAGGGATGGCCTGGAGGACTCTGTGCCAAGTCAGGGGACTTAATTTCTGGGTCCGCACATGGTGATTTTGGAGCCCAGCTCCCAAGGATTTGGGTCCTTCGGATGGGATCTCCAGGAGAGGACCCAAGATCTAGGAATGTCCATGTACGTCGGGCTCGCTCTGTGCTGCTCGCAGGAGCAAGTTGCCGCCGCAAAGCAAGAAACAGAGCAGCTGAAGGTGCGAGCTGCTTCCGGACAGGCTTTGCTCAATCGCTCTAGAAATTCATGCAGAACCTTCTGCTCGTGGTGGATGCTCAAGCCCACAAGGAAATATGTTCATGTGTAAGCCTCGGCGGGACCTCAGAATGCAAGTCACGATGCGATCGGCACACCAACTTATAGGACAGCAGGGAGAGCTGGCGGTGTATTCAAGTGCCTGCTAAAATTCCTCTCAATAAAGACAGCTTCATGACCCTGAGTTTTTCAATGGGCTTGATGTAGCACGAGGCAGCAAACACTTTGTGGGGTGTTTCTCTGAATGTCATGCATACTCATGTAGATTTGCCTGCCTACCTTACAGGCAAGCGTCCATGCGCCCTTAGCCAGGTTTCAGTTGAAGGAAGATGACGCATTAAACACCTTATCAATCTTTGCCTTTGGGGTGACAGCATCGGTAGAGAGTTCATGACCCTGTGTAAAAGGAAGTCCAAACCCCAATGCCACTGAGCTCAAATGCTTCAGGCCCAACGCTCTCGGAGTTTCTAACCTGCAGTCTACACCCAGAAACATGCAGCCAAGGTTCTCTATGGCCACTGGAAACACGCATGACTTTTATACTGGTCAGAGTCATAGAAATCCACATTTGAAGCAAGCACAGAAGGAATGTCAAAGCCAAATGATGCAAAGTCGTAGCTGCCATAGCAAAAGTAGCAGGCATGATGGCGCAGCACTGGCAGCGGTGGCGCAAGAAGCCACGCCAATCAAAGCTCAAAGCCAGTACCAGACTTCTTTCTGCAGGCTCTGCTTCCTGCGTCCGAACTCCCAGAGGCTCGTCGCTGGCCTTGTGTTAAATGTGTTGACCTGTTTTTCTACTTCGGCCGTGTTCCTCACATGAGCAGGAGGTAAGGAGCTTCGAAGGGTCTAGTGTCTCCGCTGAGGGCCTTATAAGCACCGGAGCTCTGCACAAAAAAGGTTTCTGCCCGTACCCTATATAATCCCTGTAGATTCCATTTTCTTTCCCATTATCCTGGTATTACCCCAATATACTATAATATAGTATATTACCCCATACAACGCCTATGTAACCCAAATTGTAGTCTATAACACCCGATATTACCCTTCAAAACACTCAGAGCCTCGCATGATTATCAGATGAGGCGGAGGTTTAAGAGGGCGTTACTGTACTATATTGGGGTTATAGGGATAATGGAAAAGAAAATGGAAACTACAGGGATTATGGGGGGTTATGTTGCCAAAAGTCAACACTTGAATCATGGTTTCATGACGAGGGCTCTGCTTTTGCTGTAATGCCAGCTCACAGTCATCTAAGTTATTCAGGATCGTTCGCATACTCGGAACCCATATCAGGCCCACGCTGGAAACCCCTAACGCGCAGTGCTGTAAGCAATTTTCTTCCCGACATTTGTAGCAGGGAAGGCCTGAAGCCCTTAACCCTGCTGAAGCCACCTTAAGGCTTCCGTTAAGAAAGACCCACTTACAACTTTTAAAGTCCCACCATGTATAGCAGCAGAGGCCTTGTGCGTAGATGAAGGGTTAGATTGAATAAGATAGCCTTTTCAGTATGCTCTAGACCTCATGGTTGGGGCTTTAGGATGTTTCTTGGTTTTATGGTTCTAGTACTTAATCAAAAGTCATAGAACTTATTGCAGGGATTATCGCGGTCAGGGTGATGCTTGGGCTTGAAAGGTTCCTTGTCTCGTATATCTTCGTTTAATTGCCAAGTGCTCAGTCAGTATTACTACGTTACAGCCTTCCCTTAATGGCAATAGTTCTTGACGCAATCCTACCCAGTGTGTCATGAGGTGTGAGAGTGCTCAGGAGACTTTAGGAACAAACACCCGGCGCCGAGAGGACACCAAACTAGCTGAGATCCATGAGCTGGAGGAGCAGTCAAAGGTGCGACTGCAGACTTCCTGGTGCCTAAGAGGGAGGTAGGGGACGGAGTATAGGTACCCACACATGTATACGTAAGTACTCCATAGGGTAGTTTCCCAAAATAGGGGGACCCCTAATATAGACCGCAATTTCTTATGATCATTATTCTGGGACCCCAAACGGGTACTCCTCTAAGTATAGATGGGGACTATACTGTACCCGAGCATTAGGGATCCACTCCCCAGGTAGCTCTTGAGCAGTGGTAACCTGAATTACCAACCTCGGTGCGCCTTGCTTCTCTTCTACACATACCCAAGCAGGGAGCCATGATTCGGGAGAAGCCCCATGTCTTAGAGGGTCTGGCCGACATGAGTATTTTTGAGGCTGACTTGTTGAGATATTGAGTGCAAGAGCTTGCAGACCTACCTGCATCATTCCGTTCTAAACCAGAGAACAATCCCTGGAAAAAAAGCCTAAACCCCAGACCCTGGATCCAAGCCCTCAGCTAAGCTCAAGAGGAGCTGGCGAACATGCTGGATGAGCTGGAAGATCAACGCAACAGTAACCAGGCCCGGATGTACAGAGTACCGAGAGCGCCCGTGGGGAATCAGAATAGTCATGTGGTCTCCACAGAGGTATTTCCTGTCCCCAAAATCTAAACATAGTCATTGCTTTCCGGAAGCCGCCAAGTGACAGGTAAATGATGGAATATCGAAATAGAGCCATGCCAAATAGCAACCAGCATACGGCGATGACTTACGCGCAAGTAGCGTGACCAGCAGACCGACTAAAGTCTAAGACTTTGCCACTGAGAACTCGGAACCCCGTGCCTGGCTGGCTGGCTGTTCTTGCCTTTTGCTTCATCCGCGTAGCGGTCGTCACAGTGAAGGGGGAATTCAAACGCGCGTGCAGCTGCCAAATTTTGGAGCCTGCCAGGGGCTAGCGGCTAGACTCTGCCCGTGCAGGGGGTTTGGGCGCTTGCCCACCGGGGCCGTTTTAGGGGCCATGATCGGAGCATGATTACGCCGAAGTGATGAATCGTTCTGACGGCCAAGATCGGAGCGATATCCGAACCAAGCATGTTACTGTATGGAGGGTATGCTAAGCTAAACAACGGTTACTCTGCGTTCGCACGGACCCTTCCAGCTCCCTGCTCTCCTCTGCCACTGCTTCAGAAAGCCTCCACTGTCCTATCCAGGAGTTTTTGTATACCCCTCCCCGCTCTGGGCACAAGTTTCCTGGTACAATCCTAGGTTGAAAACGTGACCGGTGTCAACTCAGCATTCGTGATCAAAGCTATCAACAAATAGCATTTCTTGTAGGACTGTTTCTTGCTATTCCGCCTTGAGACGTTAAAGCTCTGAAGCGATGGCAGCTTTAAACTTGCCAAGTGTTGGCCAAGCATCTGCGCACAGTGGCCGGCTGCAAGAACGCACCCTGCCCAGATGGGCCGTGTTGCAGTTTGATGCTCCAGCGTAAAACAGTGCAAATTCACGGTTTTCCGATTGGTCGCGAAGCGAAGCTCCAGGACGGTGCCGCCGCTAGCATGCGCAAAGAACCGTTTTCAGCATGGGACGCTGCGTTACGTTTGGGAATTGCTATTGCACTTGAAGCAAGCTCGCCTGCGAGCGTGAGCATCCGTTCCTACAGAGCACGGGCGGCGCTGCACTGTTGCACGGAAGCTGCTTGTGGCCAGATTCCTCCCAGTAAGTGCAGAGATGTGAGCGGGCGGGTCAATTTTTGTGAGCACGCATGTGCTGGTCGCGTTGCAGGGCTGTAGCATGGCGAGTAAACCTGATTGCTGGATTGTGGCAATCACTTTGTGAGCTTAAAAGCACATTGAGGCTGTCCAGTCTCTTCATCCTTGTCCTGACTTAATCCTTGCCAAGTTCCAGCGATCCTAGGTCCTAGGCCTTGGTGGGCTCGTTGGTATAGAATTGGTTAATAAGGTATAGTAGCAATCAGATGCAAAAATGAAACATGAAATGGAAACTGGGATTGTATACCCTCGCAAAAACCGGACCATCATGTTCCTGGCAGAACTGCTCGACGTGGTTTGGCTGCCTGTGGGGGGGGTGGGGGTTCCCTTCGATGGCTGGGGAGTCCACTCAGCCTACTCTTTTGGATGTGGGCTCCTCCACCGGGATACTCCCCGTGCGTTTTAGCTAGCGAGAGGTCGGAACAAGATTATGCCACATCCCGAGCTTCAAACGCCACCTGAGCCATAAGCTTTAAAAGAACGGAGGAGCCCCAGAACTTCACAAGCCGTAGCTTACAACCTTCCTCAGACCCCAAAACCTCATTCACGGTTCTGGTTTAGAATTCGTAAATCTCATCACCCCCTCGAGAGCTTACGCCTCATCCAAAGATTCTTCCACGGCCAGGCAGAGAAAGAGAAGCTGGAGAAGGAGCTGGCTGAGGTCTCGAAGCCCTGAAGAGAATACTTTTGGGTTCCGGAATTAGGTAGGGTTTACGTTTGGAAGTCTACGGCAAAATTGTTTCGGGTTTGGGGTTTTCGTGTTGACTTTCTGGTTTTATGAGCCACGGCCGATCTTCTGGTTGCCAAGCGAACACCGCGGGTGGACATTGCGCTCCTATGGCAATGGGCACAGTGTCATCCTCAGTGCTGAAATTCCCCCTGGTCGTACAAAGGTGTGTTAACTGTCAATTGCTACTGCTGCTGCCAGTCTTTCAAAACGGCTGCTACCCCCGTTGGTCAGTGAGTGTAAACCCAAAGCCATGCAGCATGCCGCATGCTTTTTCTCCTGGATCAAGGTTCAAACCATGTCTCTACTGAAGATCATGAAGCCGTATGTTGACAAGACTCTGAACCTGTTTAAAAGAAACCAGTCTTTCTCTCACTTTCATGACCCCAGCCCCGACCCAGCGCCTGGTTCTGGGGAATGTAGACCATATTAATGTTCCCGAATATACGACGCAGAATTGCATGTGATGATGCTTAGCATTCCTTTGGCATCCTGAAGAAGAGTCATCAGCCAACTTAGACCCACCCCCGATCTGCAAGGCTCTTGGCACTGAGGAAGAAGAGGCGAAGAAGCAGGATGCCACAAGGGGACATGAGGTATTGTTTGGGTACTGCCCCCACTCATTAACGATTGGAGCATAATGATAATTGCAATATAGTGATATATAGTGATCTAGCGCACTTAATGTGATCCTAATATAGACTGTTGGGTGGGAGCAGGACTCAAGGTATTGTGCTGCGATGAGTGTCTTGTGCTTGTATACACGTGGGATTAGAGGGAGACTTGACTACTAGTGATTGTGTATACGGGCGTCCACTTGGGGATAGCAGTGTTCCTATCTTGCATAACGTTTAGGTGTTTAGGGCAGGGTGTGGGAGCTTCTTGTCCAGGGTTTGGGGTTTTGGGTTTAGCGTTCAGGGCTTTGGGACGGCGTTCCAGCGGATTTACATTGTTCCTTGCATCAGGACTTGCGATACTTCACTACAGATAAGAGCAATTTGTGTTTTCGTTTTTGTTGCAATCAGGCTTCGACCCTGCAGATCACAGGATTCCGGATATCAGTATCCAGATTATGGCCAGTCTTACTAATTACTGTTGGTTCTTCTGCTGTTCAGAAAGAGTTCCGTCACCTACAAAAAAGTATGGTTGCACGTTCCTTGTGATTGGAAACGGGCTCGCCCTATCCACCATTGCCAGGAGGCGGGTGCGGAAGCAGAGGCGTGATGGAATGCAGTGCATCTTAGCGTGCCGGGCGGAGATTATTCGGTGTGCTTTATAAGGCTACGCCCGCCCAATCCTGCGATTTCTGCCGTGGAGTTTAGTAAAGCATTATCTCATCTTCCACCCTGCTCTGCCTAAACGATGAAATCATTCCTGCCGGGTGATAGTTGCAAGTCAAAGACTCAGGGCTAGCTGAGGAGGTATCTGTGAAACTATGATCTGCTTTCAAATAAAGCTCATCGGCATTTCTATCCGGAGCGCTTTTGCGACTGAACGGCTGTCCGACAGTGCGGCCTGGAACCCGCGTATAACTCCAAGGACTACAAACTCGCCATTTTCGGCCGGAGGAGCACCTCGTAAGCACGGCATGTGCGATCCTGTAAGCGCTTCGAAGTTAAAATTGGAGAGGGCTGCAATTTGCAGGCCGAGGCAGCTCCCCAGAAATCTGCAAGCGGCATGCAGCGACACTCTGCAGCAGACCATAGGAAGGGCCATGTTCTTGAAGGGGAGTGCAGGGAGTCAGGACCACAGTACGCCTCCTGAGATTCTTGTACTTGTGGGTTGCATGGACCTTGCGCAGACAAGGCTCCTACAAGGCTATGAGGTTCATCACTGAGGCATTGTATTCATGGGGCCCTTTCCGAGATTTTGTCTGGATCCTTCATAGGTTTATGGGATGTGTTTTGCACAGCTGGTACCGCGCCGCGCTGAAGAGGTATGTTGGTCAACCTTGCAACGGGACCACTGAAGAAGAGGCAACTTCAAGGTCAGGATGAGCAGAATGAGCAGAAGGAAGAATAGTAGTGGCGTAAAGATCGAAATACTCGTTGCAGGAGCAGGCGAAACACTTGTGTGGCACTGGTAGTAAGTATGACAACTCGGGCAGTTGCAGTCATGCCATCCAACGGAGTTTCGCCATTCTGTTTGAGTGGCTTTGAAATGGGAAACCCTGTTCCCTGAACCCATGATCCCTACACCCACTGAGGAGTCGGGTCTTCTAGCCCAGGCAAAACTTCGCAGGCGCTGGCTGTTCGCTAAGCACAGGTCTTCATGTGATGTATACGTAGGGTCTACCCAGGGTTGAGCGAGAAAGGACTTAGTGAGCTACTGTAGGGATTGGTGGTCGGGGCTTCAGGTTGTGGGTGAATGAACCCTCAAGTAAGCCCTGAGTCCTATCGCTAGAGCCCCATAACTAGGCCACACCCCTTCCAGCTTAAGCTCTAAGCCCTGAACCTCGAGCCCTAACACCTGAAGCCCTTCACAGTAGTTTCCATTTTATTTTCCATTATCCCTATATAACCACAATATACTATAGTGGTTTCCATTTTCTTTTCCATTATCCCCATGTAGCAGGTCAAGGATTTGAGTCAGCTCCGGAAGATTGCCCGGGAAGGCCCGCAGGAAGAGGACCGCCATCTCTCCAAGCGAGGGATTTCATACAAGCTTTCGGGTTGGGGCGGTTTAGAGTTTATAGGGCTTGGGGCTTGGGGTTTCGTGGATCCTGTACTACCCCCAGCCTAACACATCCTAACACCCGCAAGCCCAAAAACTTTTTATTCGACTTAATTTAGGACTTATGTCGGGCGGGGGGTATTAGTCCGGGGGTTCCTAGAGGATCCTATAGCGTGTCTGAACATTGTCACTCCTTGTCAGGATCTCAGTAATGAGGACGCAGTTCTTTTGGATGATTGCCGAAGGACACTTTTTGAGAAGTATCTAGGTGAGCCATTTGTCTTGACCAAGCCCGCAGAATATGCGGAACTTTGTGCAGGTGCCTAAGAATGTTGAACCAGGGCTCACTGGCGTGCGCTCTGTAACAAAATGACCACATAATTTTTGTTCATGATGGCAATCTTCTCACGGCAACAGAGTAACAGCCGCCAACAACAAGAACAACGCCACTGACACAAGCCACAATAACAATTATGAATTCCAAGGCCATTCGTTTACATGTCATGTCTGGCTTCTTATGACAAGCATACTAACACAGACCACAGTAGTCTTGACTGCATGGCATGTACAGCAAAAATACCATGAATGTTGCACTTCGGCAGGAGCAAGCAGCAGAGTCTGACCCTGCGGAGGTGGCTTTGCTGGCCCAGAATGAGGAAGGGCATTGGTCATTTGCACAATTGTTTTTTGGGGTTCCATTACGAGGGTTCTTTTTCAGGGTGCACCAGAAACGCAGTTTCGATGAGTAGCCAGAAAAAGAGCGCATGCGCGTGCTTTGCAGAGGATCGCTTCTGCAAAATGTTTTCATGTGCTGGAAGGGATCATGGTAGTACATAGCGGGAAACCTGTATGCTCCCAGAATGATATTATTGAGTAACCCCACAGGCCCGAAAAGGGATGCACGACTTGAATTACTCCCGGTTCCCCATAACATGGACGCATGAGGCAGCAGAAGCGCAGCCGGGCCCAGCGAGGCCATGAATGCGCGGATTGCTGCGTTGAAGCCTTCTTTGGGTCCAAGACAAGAAAACCACACTGATCCACATGCCTCATGCTGAACCGCGCCCTCCCCAGAGTTCATTCCCCTACTTCGGACGCGGCAGGCAAACATTCACGGCCGACCCCGAGTCATATGCTCCCGGCACTGAGGGATCATACGGTGTAGCGTCTTGGTGGCAGATGAGGGTAGCTCAGCCCAGAAATACCCTTCGGCAACGGTGTGAAGAACGGTTTCAAATCTGTGGTCCTAACAATGACGATTCTTCGGTACAAGCCACTCTAACTCCAACACACACGGATAAAGGAAAAGCTGATCGCCTGTTGGAAATGCCCTCTGGCCAAAGACCACCAATAGTTGTCTATGAAAAGAATCCAACGCAAACCTATGGAAATGGCAATACCCACCTCAAGTTGTCAAGCCCTCCGGCCCGAACCTTACACCATCTGGCTCTCCGAAAACCTGTAGACGAAAGCCGTTTGCCTGAGCCTCCTAGCTTAGGAGGAGCCAGCAGCGGTAGAGCCCATGGTGGCTTGGTTGCTGAAGCTACGTGGGAGTTTCCAAAGCTCAGGGGGGCCCAACATCAACCTACATATACTATTATCAATATGACCGGTGCGTGAGCAAAGTCTCATTTTGAGACGTAGCCATCTGTAGTTCCATTTCATTTTGCATTATCCCTATATAACCCCCAAAAACTATGGTAGTTTCCATTGTGTTTTCCATTGCTATAGCTGCTCAATGACTTGAATGGTTTATGAAAGTATCTTCAAACCCAAAAAACAAGGGGTTATCTTAGGGTTATGTTAGCGTTATATTGAGTTTAACCTAAGGTTATATTAGGGTTACATTGGGGTTATCTTAGGGTTATATTGGAGTTGTGCCTCTGGAGCCCACATTCAAGCAGGCAATCACCAATCAGATGTCTTCAGCCCTCAGCCCAAGAAGCTTCAATTCTGATGAGTTTGAATCCCGTCCTCTAATATTACACACTACCTTACCTGCTGAAAAATCACACATTCCCTCTCAGAGACCAGACATAAAGCTCATCTGATTTTACGATGTAGGACTGTGCTGAGTATTGCGTTCTTCTTGTAATAAGGGCCAAGGGGCTATTGAAAACATGTTTATTGTGGGTATAACAGGATACGAGTATATTGACCATAGTACCCCAACAAGGAACCAAGCCTAATGAATGTTGACCCAGCAAAGGCAGGTGCTAGTGAGGCACCTTGGAGAGGAGCTATTGTTGCTTGTTTGGCTGTTGCAATCATGGCGTAACACATTAGACTAGGGTTTTAGGGTACACTCTGCTACAGTTCTATGAAGCTTTTGAGGGGATAATGTTGCTAGTTGCTCATGTTTCTGAATTGCCTGGTTTTGTCTGTTGTTTTCAAGTAGGGGGCAGTAATCACAAGCAAACAACATGGCGTCATCCAGATACTTTGTGTATATCAAGCTGTCAAAGTTAGAGTCCGTGATGTTACAACTACACCGCACCCCCTAACTATTGAACATATTGCCAACATAGTAGAGTATACCCCTGGGATCTACAAGGAGCATTTTAAACTTTCGGGGGTTGCCGGTTTTAATCTCAGAGGCTCACCTGAAACCCTAAACCTCAATTGATACAGTGGATCCACTTTCTTTTTCCATTTTTCCCTAAACCCTCTCTTTACACTCCCTCCGCGGCGTGATATATGTTAAAACCACGGATTACAGATATAAATATAGAGACAGATATAGATATAAGATATATACATAAGGGATTCCTTGGCATATCCAACGCGTGTCACTGGTCCAGGAGCCTCCTCAAGCGAGCCCTCCGCTCGGACACAGGCCGCTTTAGAGCTTCAGGAATTTAGGAGTGTTGAGGGCTTAGGATTTAAGAGTCTAGGGGGTGAAGGGGCTGGGGATTTCGGAGTTTAGGGGTTTTAGGGCTTAGGACGTAGGAGTCGATTGTAAAATCATGACAAAGCAACAATCATCCGCTCAAATTGACTTCTCCCAGATAAACTTAGACGTGTAAAAGATTTAAATTATAGAGTGATCCCAATGAAGACAAACAAATGAAGAGGAACAAACCCTCAATCATAGAGACGGATGCCAGGGAAAAGCTTTTGGAATAGACGGCGAATGCTGATGATAAGATTCCTTAATAGAATTTTCCAAAATGTGAAAGTGCTTCCGGAAGACACATGAAAGGCCAATGACCTGTCTTTAGAAAATCACCCAAGAACCTGAGCTCTAAGAAACCCATTTAACTAAGTGGCAAAAGGAATGGATTGAAAGAAACGAGCTGGCGAACCTACGAACTTTCTTAGCATTACACCAACAAGAAGATAGGCTGTGAAGAGGATGACGTGCCTATATCAGGTTAAGCGAGGTTGCGGATGATTATGAATTCATTGCTCGACGCAAAAATGTGGCCGTAACAGATTGTACATAAATGAAGCGAACGAGAAGAAACAGGTGGGCGTGTTGTTAATTGTTTCTCTCACTCGTTCACCTGTTGTTCTCATTTGCTCACGGAATCCCCCACTAAGGAGAACTAGAAGACCACCAGTTGTGAATTGAAAGAAGGAATGAACCTAAATAAACGAAGACACGAAGCAGCAGTAATCTAGGAATTTCTAGAGTGTTTTCTGATGATACGGGTTCTTACGGCTTAGCAGATGTCTAGTGTTAAGAACTCTTATAGGATTCCACAATATTTCCTTAAAGTAGGAGATCTCAGCTCTCTGTTGAAACCCTGAGAATTACTTTTCACCAACAGTCACAGGGATCGGGGTGGCCCTATATAAATCTTTTATAGAACCATACACCTTCTTGCAACCTTCCATGCACCATCTATACATAAACCTTGTATGAGCATTATAAATGCACTATATCCCCTCCATAAACCTAATGTAACCAACAAGACCCAAACCATAAACGGAGGTGGGGGTAAGAGGTTCTGAATCCTCTAAATCTAGAAGCAGTACAAACCTCTCTAAACCTTAATCGAACCCACAAGACCCAGACCGCAGGCCACAGGACCACAGGGGGGCGGGGGGGTTATACTTGAATCCTGAGCCAGAGCTTAGAAGATAGCCACCATGCCGTTGGGGGTTGCAAATCTCGCTAAACCCTAATCTAACCCATGACACCCAGACCATGTGACCCATAGCAGAATAGAGCCACCATACCCTTGGGGGGGGGGGGGAAGGCCGGTGGGGGGCCGCCGTGGCGCGACCATATACATATATACATATATATATATATGCGCATACATACACCATATAGAAGCAGAAGTGAAAATTCCGAAGATCCTCCAAATTTGGGTTAACTCATGAGAATAATAATGTCGTCTTAGAAATTCACAGCTCTTTCGACACTCCGCTGACACAGGGTGATGAATACTTGTAACCATCATTCCTCACAAGGCTCAAAGCATGACTCAGGAAAATGAGGAACGAATGAGGCAAAACAAGGCATGAGTCAGAAAGGCAAGGCACGAGTCAGGGAAAGGGAAACGATGACTCGGGACAAATGTAACGCACGAGTAAAGAACAGAAAAGGCACAACTTAGGACAGCAGAGCCGCAAGTCGGCAAAATCAGCGGAAAGGACAAGTCCACCGTAATCATCATGCAGTGCGATAAATAGACGCGTCCGTGACTCTGGAAGCATTTGTCTCAGAAGCCGCTCTCTCATCATGCGATGACATTGGAGGGCGTTGCTCTGGGGACATTTTCTTTGGCTTCGCGGAATCATGGCGCAAACTTAAAGAGGACCACCCCAAGCACCTTGTTTAAGACCGTCAAGGGGCTTCTACATGAGTCTGTCTCTGAAGGGACTAGCTGCAGCAGCGGGGTCTGCAGGACTGTCACAGCCTTTGGTAAGTTCCTACATGCTCAGGGTTCAAGGTCAAGTGGTCTGTGGCAGCCAGGATGCTTTTTGTTGACGTATGCATCCTCACGGTGATGTGATGCTTTGTTGAAGGCATCTGTCTCGTTTCCGCTTCTGTTCTGTTCCTTCACTGACCCCTGGATTAAGCATTCCGGCTGTTCCCCAATCGCCTCTCCCCTGATTTCCTCCCTAACGCATCCCTTCTTCTCGATTTCTTTTAGCGAGTCACACCGCGACCTCCCCAAAATCTGCACCCTTATATAGGTAGCGAGTCCAGCGAAGTTTTTTTTGGCAAGTTGCTATTGCTGTGGAGGCCCGCCTATACAACCTTAGGATGCGGCGATGTCCTTCCCACATGTTTACGCAGGTTTCTCAGTTTTAAAGTGGTAGGATTTCTTGAAATGTTCACAAAACCCTGGGGCTCATGAGTTTGCTGTTTGAAAGCCATGCAATGACATCTTTAACTGACATTAAGATTTCTGACAAACCGATTGAGATTATTTAGTCTGCTCTCTTTGCCACATGTTGTGGCAGTCAGTGTTAGGGGTTCGAGCAGGACATCGGCGAGGACGGATGCCATGGCTGACGTATCAACGCACTTTCCCATTCGTGTGCTGTTGCGTCTTCCACAATCTCAATGACAAGCTTCCAGTGGCCCACTTGCGCGTCCATAGCGTTTGCGTCTACCGCAACTTTGTGTTTGCACCGAAACCGAGGACAAGCCTTCGCTTGCCAACACAGCGTTCGTTCTTCTCAGGGCCAGTCTCAACGTCAGGTTGGTGCCGTTCTCTACCAAACGCGAAATCACCCCAAGACATTGCTCACCTCAACCTTATTCTGGCGGTTTTACAAGATTTTTGACAAGCCTTGTCGCTCCTGGCGTGCCGTTTTGAGGGCCCTGTGCGATTCTCGTTGTCGTTGTTGACAACCTGCAACGCACCGACGCATGTGGCCATGAGCTGTTATGTGATTTGTTTTTTTGCGCGTGTGTGGCCACAGGGCTTCAGGGTGTTGCACCGTGCATCTATTTCTTACAGGTCCTTACACAATCCACAATGTGGCCATGGGCTCTAAGTTTCCGAGATGCCGTAAACATCTGTACAATTTCTTGTTGCAGAGTCTTTCCTACCAGACCTCCAGCGTGTGGGGTGTTTACAATATTCAGCCACACGCATGCGTTCATGTGATTTTGTTGGCAAGTGTTCTAGTACGACGGGCTTTGCGCTGTTGTTCTTCACAATGGGTACAAAATCGCCGCGTTATTGTTTGCCATGCGCATTGCAAGACAGACAAAGCCTTTTGTGTGCGGCCACAGTTTTTTTGTCCAGGGGCTTTGTACGCCTACTCCCAGAAAGTCCTTATACAAGATGTCTGCGAATCCAGCCAAAGGTTTATTTAGCTCTTTCTACCAGTCCGGTATTTCATACATGTCGTTGCAGATTGCCGCGCAGGAGGTAAATCGAATTCGCAAGCGACTGGTCGAATTGGAAAGCAAAGACCAACAGCTGGAGGAGAAGGCGCATGATGATGTTTGCCATGTAGGTTTATGTGGTGAGTGTGGCTACAGGTCAGCAAGAACATCAGAACTCTTGTCACAAGACCAACAACGGGGTCTATGCTATTAATTATAGGGGTAGCGCTGGCAGCAGTCACAGTAGTAATCGCCATGGTGGTTTTAAGAGTTGTGGTACCAGTTTTAATACCAACAGTCATTATTTTGCTCTTGTTGTAGTAGACAGTAGAAGGAGGAGCAGGAGCAGTAGTAGTTGTAGTTGTAGTCGTAGTGATAGTCGTGGTAGTAGTGGTAGCAGTAGTAGTAGTAGTAGTAGTAGTAGTAGCAGCAGCAGCAGTAGTAGCCGTAGCAGCAGTAGTAGTAGTAGTAGTAGTAGTAGTCGTAGTCGTAGCAGTAGTAGTAGTAGTAGTAGTAGTAGTGGTAGTAGTAGTAGTAGTAGCAGTAGCAGTAGCAATAGGTCCGCGTCCCGTTTGTGACGCCGCACTTTTGTGTACTCGCATGTCTAAAGTGCCACGCTT